GGGTAGAATCTAAGTACTCCTCTATATATGTGTTGCATGCTGCCACGGTCGTGTGATTGAACGGCTTTGGCTCACTTGCCTTGGATTGCAAGGGCCTCATGGGGTGATGGGGTACGATTGAATCCACTTATAACTTACCCCAGAATCATGGGACTCTAATCTGTCTATGTGTGTGTCCTTTTTTTTTTCGGCACCCCTGGAATGATCCTGTTCCTTGTGGTTTCCCTCGTTAAACCCCACCACAACGCGGGGCCTCCAAAAACCATGCCGCAGCATGGCTTGGTCTCCGAGGCAAGACACCGAGCGCGGCATCCTGGAGACGGAGTTGGTTTGCGGCTTCCAAGCCGTTTGCTGTTTTCACAAGGCGTAGGTATAACCTTTGGTGCATGTTGCTTGGATGTTAGGACTTTAACTTTTTGCCAGCTAATGGGTTTTCCATTAAACCACTAAAAGTTAAACCTTTAGCAGGGGAGCAGAAAGCAACCGAGTAACCCAACCTTCTTCCAAGCTTTTGTTTGCAGCTTCCAAGCCGTTTGCAACTTTTTTGTTCAGACATCTTTGGGGTAAATTTTAGTGTGTTTTTATTGTTTGGCCTCATCATGAAGTGTGCGAAGGAAGCGACGCTTGGATAGACACTGACCCCAGGTGATCCTGTTTCATGTTGGTTCCAGAATCAAGGCAGCTGAAGGCTTATTGTACCAAACATGGCTTGCATGGGCCACCTTTGGAGGATGCGGTTCCAGAAGCATTGGGCTTGTGTACCTCCGTGTTTGGTGAGAAGGATTGCAAGTCCAAAGGGTGTTTTGGGCCGAAGAAAAGAGCACCTTGTGCATAGCGATCAAAAGAACACCCGGACACCTGCTGGTTTTGGGCTCCCTTTTCAGGATTGCAGCCAAGATCTATGACGTAAAGGGCTACAACAGTTTTTGTCCGATTGGACGTCACCAAAAAATGAGGTGCCGAAGCATCCGGATTTCCATGTACGGTTCCATTCTCCTTTTTCATGTGTAGACCAGGGAAATAAGATTGGGGATCCCTGACACTCCCAGAAGGTTGGGAGCTCAAGCCTTGACCTTAAGGCCTCGCCTTCAGTGCCTGAAGACCCTCACGTTCAAATCAATGCCAATCCGCTTGGCCCAACAAAACTTGGGGTAGGGGGCCCTTTTCCTACATCCCAGTCGGAAGTGTGTTCAAGAGGTTTGGGAACTTCTTCTTCTGCCAGCGTGCATCTCTTTCATACAGGGTTTCGTCCCTCGAATGAATCGTCGATTGACGGCCTAAGTTGAAAGTTGAAGCCGGAAGTCTGGCGAGATGACGCTCAGAGTCTTGGAGACGCTTAAAGCTTTAGCTCCAGTTCTCCCCCCGCTTGCGTTGGTTGTTTCGAAACGGTTTTGTCCAGGGCTCCATGTGTAGATTGTCCCAAGGGCTTAGAACTCTGCAAGATCCAACACAAGCTCCGATGAATGTGGTAGCGAGTTGCTCGCATGCAGCTTCAGCGCTCCATTAATCGCGGCGTGTTCTACGTGTTGGCGGACAAAATTGGAAGTGATGGCTTGCCCTTCACGCACCGCGTTTGTGTGCCACGTTGGTTTTGCTACGAGAGGCTGCTCGTTTTGACCGATTAAACAAAACCGCAGAGGTGCCAGGAGCTCCGCTTGAACTTTTGTGGAAGTCAACCTCGAGATTTTATGCCCATCTTGGATAGTCCATGAACGGAACCGCAGAAAGCTTGAATCCGTTTGAATAGCTGGCGCGCGAGGAAGTGGGGGATCATCCTGAGTCGGTGGAAGGATGTATGTTGGCCATGTTGAGTATCACATTCAGGGCAGATCTGCGGCATCCCCTGGTGAATCTGTGGAGGTATGTTTGGGGAACCCTGACCCAGTAAACGACCTTCATCATGATATCCCGGGTGGGCTTGTTTTTGACCCCAGAGCTTGTGTGATCATGTGTGCACTACAAGTGCACAAACGATTAGAATTGCGGGGCGGTGTACCTTGTTCAAACCAAATAAAGTCATCATAGGAGAATCACCCATTGCCAGTTCCCGTGAAAGGCAGGTCAACCAGAACCATATAGAACCATGATGGGAACCGAGGTGAGAGCCCTTGTTGCCTTTCTTGCTGGTGGGAATGTGGGAATGACCCAACAAATGCCCCGAGGCACGGGGTGCCGAAGGCCTATGTCTTCGTGCAGCTTCTGACGCCCTTGCCTCGAGGCCTTTGGGTGTCGTGGCGAGACCAAAGGGTGCGGAAAGGAACCTCAGTCAGTTTGGGCTCACCAAGCGTATTCCTTGACTTGCTGGACTTGGCCGTCATCTCTTGGAGTTTGGACCTTTCTTTTCTGTAAACAACAAGTCTAGACTTCTTTTGGCCCGCGGATGTGAGCAGAGTGTTTCCCCAGCCACTTGGGATATGATCAAAGCTACAACAATTGGCAGGCCTCCCCGGAGCCTGCCGAGCTGATTGAACGGCCCAATCGAAGCTCCCGCGCTCGCGGGCTTGCTTGGCGCTGGTAGGATTTGACAAACCTAGATCTAATCCCATGTTTAGGGTGTATTAGATGGCGGATCCAACAGTTGCCTGGATGCGGAGAAGTCAGGAAATCAGCACAATCAACACTTGGCATTGCTGGAAGGCCGGCTATGCGCATCGACTTGCATCGTTGGGACAGGCTTCCACCTTCATCTATCCATGGTTCCGCTTATGGCTTCCACAAACTCCCAAATGGATTCCGTGTGGGTTTGATTGTGTCCCCCAGCCGAACAGTTCGGTTCCAAGGGCTACTGCCTGCGGCACAACGTGTCAACGACATCGACTTTCACCAAACTACATCTTGTGACTCGGGGATACAAGCCCCACATGTCCTTGCCAATCGGTTGACCTGTTTGGTGGCTTGCATTGCAAACAAATTTGAGACGACTTAAACCGGAACAACGCGGGTCTCAAAATACACAAACGCAAGATCCTTCAGAATGACGCAGACACACACACATACACACACACACACACAGACACAGACACAGACACAGACACGGACACAGAGACACACAGAGACACACAGAGAGACACAGAGACACACAGAGACACACAGAGACACACAAAGACACAGAGAGACACAGAGAGACACAGAGAGACACAGAGAGACACAGAGAGACACAGAGAGACACAGAGAGACACAGAGAGACACAGAGAGACACAGAGAGACACAGAGAGACACAGAGAGACACAGAGAGACTCAGAGAGACACAGAGAGACAGAGAGACACAGAGAGACACAGAGAGACACAGAGAGACACAGAGAGACACAGAGAGACACAGAGAGACACAGAGAGACACAGAGAGACACAGAGAGACACAGAGAGACACACAGAGACACACAGAGACACACAGAGACACACAGAGACACACAGAGACACACAGAGACACACAGAGACACACAGAGACACACAGAGACACACAGAGACACACAGAGACACACAGAGACACACAGACACACAGAGACACACAGACACACAGAGACACACAGAGACACACAGAGACACACAGAGACACACAGAGACACACAGAGACACACAGAGAGACACACAGAGACACACAGAGACACACACAGAGACACACACACAGAGACACACACACAGACAGACACACAGACACACACAGAGACACACACACACAGACACACACAGACACACACACACACACAGACACACACACACACACAGACACACACACACACACAGACACACACACACAGACACACACACACACACAGACACACACAGACACACACAGACACACACAGACACACACAGACACACACAGACACACACAGACACACACAGACACACACAGACACACACAGACACACACAGACACACACAGACACACACAGACACACACAGACACACACAGACACACACACACACAGACACACACAGACACACACAGACACACACAGACACACACAGACACACAGACACACAGAGACACAGACACACAGACACACACACACACACACAGGGGCCTCAAAAGAGCAAAACAGGACCGGACAAGAATAAATTTAGGGGTCTCCTGACCCGTGTTAGAATCCACATTTGTTAGGTTTTTTTGAGTTGCCGGGTTCTGCTTGCTGGCCCTCGAACCAGCCCCAAACAACCTCTTGTGACCTGCAACAACCTCCGCAGAAAGCTCCAAGAAACCGGCACAAAGTCAACCTGGAACACATCTACCAAACAAAGCTTCACAATTAGCCTCAAGCAACACCTCCAGATTGCCAGAGGGAGTGTCTTTTATTGCGGGTACCCATTTTGGGTTTCCACAAAGGAAAGGACACCGAAAAAGAATGTGTTACCCATTTTGGGGTGGTGTTCAAGATTTAGGACACCAAAAGTAAGACTCAAACAAAAATGTGGGGTCCGAAAAAAATAAATAAGTAAAATAAACAATTTTGTGGGGTCCGAAAAAACGACAGACCCTAGACTTTTTACCCTTTCTCCTTGGGTCCCGAGCGAGTCCTCAGGCAGCCCGGAGCTGGCCGTAGCGGCCAGGTTGTACGAGAACCTGGTTGCTGATGGGCTGCAGGCCGGGGGAAGCGGTTCGCTTGAGATATGGCTGTGGGTCAGAAATGGGTACCCAAAATGGAACCCTGGTAAATGGAACCAAGGACTAAAACCTGCGGTCCTCTGGTGGTTAAATTTTGACTCGTACCCATAGGGATGTGGCTCAAAATTGAAACAGGAGGGGCTACGCAGGTCTTGGTCCATGTTTCCGCCTACCAGAGTTCCATTTTGGCACCGGTTTTTGAGCCACAGCCACACGTTGACCCCATACTGTGGATGGACGAGATCCATTTCGCACCGCCCAATAGAAACCCTGGAATGATGATTTTCCTGTAAATACACATAAACAATGGAACCCGCTGGGTTTCCAAGTGGTGCAGGAGTTCGTCCATCCACAGTACTAATGAATCCGGTTTATTAATAGGGGGTGTCCCTGGGTTAACTCTCAAAAAGACTCCCCGGACATGCATTGGCGTTGTCTATACCGAAACGCATTGATTTTCTTTCTTTGTGTTGGGGGTTATATATGTATATATCTATATGTATATGTTCCAGTCCCCAGGCCACCAACCCCGCCGCTGCTACGGTCCCCACCCCCTCCTCGAGCCCCTGAACTCGCACCCTTTCATCCCGACACGTACGACAACTCAACCCACAACCAACCCCAAACCCCAACCATAAGCCAATCCTACACGCCTAACACTTCACCCTAACCCTAAACAAACCCTCGTACCCCCCCGACCGGAACCATATATATATATATATATAGGGTAGGACCATCGTTTGCCCCACAAGTCAAATAATGCAAAGACCTTGGTATTGGGAGGGGGTCTTAGCATACATACATACATATATATATATATATATACACACACGGGTTCTGATTTGCTCAAATGCACCGCGGTGGCAGGGGGAGAGGCAGGCGCTTTGTCTTGGCCACTGGTTTCCCAGGCTCCGAACACACTTGGTTTGAGCGGTGTTGCCTGTTTCTTTCGTCTAGCGCAGAGTTCCTTGATGCGCTGTCGGTTGGAGGAACATCGCTCGTGAGCGACTGTCTTTATTCCCAGAAGACTGTAGTAGTGAAGGCCGGGCGGACATATGTTTGTGGTAACATACTGAATTAGGTGCACAACCAAATAGGAAACAGCCCCAAAACAAGGTGAGGCCATTTACATGGGTGATTGAGATCATAAACGCATGCGGCGCTGGAAAACGAGGTCAATGGGTCCAAACGAGAGGGTTGGGGAACGAGATGGGCAAAATCCTTCATGACAATGCTAGTCCCAAAGCCTTTGAGAACACCTTCAAATAATTTAGGGGCACAAAGTTTAATATACCACACATGTTTTTGTTTTTTTGCGGCATAGCCTCTCATACCTCAACCCAAGCATGAAAATGGCGTTGAATATTTTTGGATGCATCCAGCGTCCCGCAAGTAGGCCAGGCCTTCACTTCACCCAGAAGCTGAGACAGGTTACCTTTAGGTCGGTTTAAAGGGAAACCGCAAGGAAATCCACAATGGGTTCCCCTACACCGCAGTCCCAGATGCAATGTCCTGACACAGGGGTTCTATCGAAACACTTGCTTGCTTTAAACACATTGAACATATTGGAAGCACACGCCCCCAATCATCTACAATGCAACCTCTCGAAGACGGGCACCGCAAAATGCCACCTGAGCAGATTGAAAAAGCAGCTCCTTGTCAGACTTGGCTTGCCCAAGCAGCAGCAAGTGAACTTGCGGGGTATCTAAATCTGCCCCGAGTAGCTGACAAGCTTCTCCGGGATCTGAAAGAGGGTCGGGGCCTTGGCCGTTCAGGAATCCTTGCTCTACTACGCCCAGGTGGCAGGCAAGGGCAATATGACGGCGCGTTGTGGATCTGCGATTCATGTCTGGCTTGTAAAGCATCATATCTTGGAACATCTTTGAACATCTTTGAACAGTTCCCACAAAGAACCCAAGATTGATAATTATTTTAATGATTTTTCCAGACGCAAGGACCACTAGCTCCGAATTGCTACCGAGGGACCTATCCGAACCTACGCGGCAACGGGTTGGTCGTTGCACTGAGGTGCACCCGCCCAACTCTTAGTATGGTTCCAACTGGGTGCAGCTGAGAATTAGCAGCGGGTTTTGTCTTTGCCAACCAATGCGCGTTTTTGTTGGGGACGATGCCTATTCCAAGACCCCGTATTCTTAGGGAGGGGTTTGGGACCGCCGCAAGGGTTCCTAGTATGGGGGGTTCATGACCATGGCCCACACAAAGAGTTTTGACCATGGCTCATATCAGCTTGGCCTAATTGGTGGTTGGTTTGGTGGTTTGGAGGGTAGGAAGTGGTTTGCATCTACCCTCGACAAGAACCAGGGGCCCAAAAGCACCAATCCAAACCACCAATCAGGGGGCAGCTGATCATAGGTGCCAATGTTCTTTGAGATTCGTTGACTGTCGGCAAGACAGGGTGAAGTAGGTAGCTCAGCTTCACCTGCATGACTTTGACAATGCAATCGGGACCCCAGCCCTTTTGATTCTGAACTTGGCTTGAGGTCTTCCTGAATTATTGCAGGCATGCAGCTTAGTCAATTTCCAATATCTGCAAAGATAAAAACATGTCCTAATCTGAGCCCATTTGACCGCACAAACAATCATTTGCATCGTCATGCTTTAGTCAAAACCATTGGCACAAGTTTGGAAGAACCAAACACATTTATCAATTGCTAGTTTGGATCGTTCCACTTATCAAACAATAGATACGACACTTGACCAAAACGCAATTTAATTCATTCAATGATTTTCAAGAACATGCTTAAACATTTTTGTTTGGGCTTCTACAATGTATTTTCATTTGGGCGGATGAGAAGGGGTGGGGCAACCTGGCAAACCTAATCTCCCTTTGTTTTTTCCACAAAGAGGCTGGTGCAATACCCAAATGCAAAATGTGCAAGTAGTGTAATGAGGTCGGTTGGCCTATTCCACTTTTGTGGACAGGGAACCACCCTTAAGATTTTGATCTCATTGGACATAGGGTTCCAGTACACCAAGACAATAATTCAACACAGAGGTTTCCTTTTAGAGTATATGTTCAGCTGATTGGATTGGTAGGATTGTCTTGAGGCCGGCTGGGGAACGCTCTCATGCTTGGATGACCGTGTCACTTAGCAAGTTATGCAAGTTTGCTACCAATACCCTGCCGTTTGTACATGCCTTTGCGATGTAGGACACATCCTGCGAGTTTGAGGAGTGATTAGGCACGCTTGGACGTCTGTTTGACGAGTTATGACGCTACTTACAAGTAATTTGACCTACTTTCCTGACAACGTCTAATTGTTGAATTGAATGTTGATTTCCCTAGAAGCCGGAAGAAGACTCTACTGGCCCTGGGTGCTTTTAGCTTTAGGGATTCTCCAACAGACCCGCAGAGCATCTATGTTGACGTCCTTTTTGGCCCTTAAAGTGCATCAGAAGTTGGAACCGAACAATGCAGCACCCAAAGCCGTGCCACAGGCCATTTGCGTTGTTCTAATAACCTGTTCAACCGGTATTGCAAGGCCTACGCAAACCATCATATCCAACTTAGTAAAACCCAGAGTCAATGTGTCTTTGGTGTTCCTCAAAAGTTGGGTTTCCAGGCACACCTCTTGTTTTCATCAGGCCTGGACTTCAACTTTTCCATCTCCACACGCGGGGTGCAGGCGCGCGACGCTCATCCACCATGATGGTCGCTTACTTGGGATTTGGGCGTGGGTCAAACATAGGTACACAAAATGGAACCCTGGTAATTGGACACAACGACTAAAACCTGCGGTCCCCTTGTGGCTTAATTTTGACCCATACCCATTTATCAATTGTGGTTTGTGAATTAGCTGCCGGGCCCAAGGCCTCTCTGTAGCAGCCCTGGTGAGAGCCTGGGCAGGGCCATGCGGGAAAGTTGAAGCATGGGGGGTGCTCATGTAGGAGCTTGTCAGTCTTTGTGTGTTTGAGGAAGGCAACGTTCCTGCTTCTCTTCCAGCGGGTGTTTTGGGGCGCCCTGGAGTCAGCCAGGGGTGTGTTTGCCGGCAACATTTTGTTCCTATTGTCTTGGGCAACCCAACCCGCCGACACGGACACGTTTCCACGCTCGAACAACAAGCGGCTGCAACGCCATGCTAATCTTCTTTGCGCCAGACTGTCACTGCACCGTGGATTTGGATTTGTGCGCGTCCAAGATCAAAAGATTGGGCCATGATTTGACCTTCCTCAAACAGTTTTGCACTCCTTTTCTGGGGAGGTACCAAGCAAAAGCTCAGCTCAAGCTGCATGCCTGTGCCCAGCTGCAGCAAGATGCTCTAAGTGGCACTGGTAGCAGGTGGTCACATGCCCCGATGCACCACTTGCTACACGTCATGTCCATTTGGCGTATGCCCATGGGAACGTATTTTTTTTGGGGGGAAGGATGGGAGATCTCGGGGAGGAATCGACAACATAATATGTGGGGCCATCTTTCATTTGGAGCACTCGTGAGGATCAATGGGTCTCCAGCCAAAGTGGTCAAAACAAGGGCTGACGCACCGGACATTGGTTTGATTTGCAGACCTCCGGCGGTGCCGATTCTTTTCTCAGCTTTAGAGAGTGTTGTTTTTTGTTGCCTAAACCATCTTCCAGCGGGGAGAGTGCTCATTTCTCAGTCGCTTAGAGAAGACTCCAAGTTTGGCCAGTTTTCAATCAAGGCTGCAAAGGGTAAACACCAATTGTATTTCCAGTCCTTTGCGCAGGTGGCCCATAGCTGCTTGGGGAAGGAAAAAGGGGCAGCCTTCATTACCAAGCCGCTGCACTTCAAGGGGTCACTGTAGCCCAGATCTCCAGTGGTGCCCTTGCTTCTTATGAAATGTCCTTTAACATCAACAAGCAACAAGCAAAGTTTCTTTGCGATAGGGGATCAGGGTGAATATCATTGTTCGCGCCTCTTTCTTTCAAGCTGCTTCTTTGGGCGTTTCCCAAGACAGGGGTCCCCTTGATGTATATTCCTGATGAATTCCTTTTGCCCAACTAAAAGGTGATCCATTTTGAGAAGCTCCCACTTGGCGCTCCATGGGAAGACCCATAGATGCTAAGTCTGGTCACATCCTCAAACTTGCCCAGAAGGCTTAGTTTCTGAGCCCCCCCACCTTCACCTGCCACCACTTCAAGTTGGACCCAACAAGGAGGAAGGGTTCTTGGCCACCGAACCACATGAGCATTTCCCCCAGCTCTTCCTGGGTGGCTTCGACGACCGCCTGGGCAGCTTCGCGGAATCTGCGCTGGACGCCTTGCTGGCTTACAAGCCGGACCCCAAAGGCGAAAGCGGGTTGGGTGGGTCTAGCGAGGGAAGGGGAGAAGGGCTCAAGTCTCAATCTCTTCAAGCTCCAAGGGAGTTGCTTTTGGTCGCTGTTCCCTGTGTGGCTTCCCCTCGGTGTGGAGTATTTTTTTTTGAAAGCCCCAGCATTGCGTGCTGTTGTGCACGAGAGTCCCACCCCCAGAAGCATGGAATTCGGGCTGGAATTTCATTTGCGTGTCCATTTTTTCCGTGTGAAGTGGAATTGCGTGGACCCCTCACACCCCATGCCCCAGATCTTGGTGGCATTAGGGCCACGCGTGGACCAGAACCGATATCATGCTGAGGCAAGTTTTAGGCCCAGACCCAACGTTTGTTCTGACAGAGAACATCAAACGCTCGCTGTTGTCAATAGGATCCATTTTCCTCACGTCGTTGGTTTCGAATTATAGCCGCTATGGGATGGAGATGGGGATGATGTTTGGATGCTGTTTGCAAAAAACAATGTATCCTGGTATCTATACATTGAATAGCACGCGTCTTATGTAAACAGGTCTGATGTTTGTATTACATATATCCCCCTCCATGATCCACCTTTGCTGTGCCATTTGTACCATCTACGGGCACAAATCAGTTGCACGTCACAACGTGTCATGTTCCATTTGCAAGGCAAACAAGTCAGCGTCACCTTTGTCCGTGTTATGTCACATTCAACAGTCCAAAATATATGCCTTTTGATTATTGAATTTTGCCGAAATCCTCACTCAAGTTATTTGAGGGCCAATGTGGAATGAAATTCGCATTAACATTGCAAACAGCAATTCAGACTAAACTCCTTCCCTATTGAGAACCATGATACAGTTATGGTCATATTTGGGAAGGAATACCTTTCTTACCCTTCATTCAAAACCGAAAAGTTGCCCATGTTTCTTCTTACACGATGTTCGATCTCTGATCAATCCTTAATCAGTGTCTTGTTTGGTATACTGAGCCTTATAAGAAGCCTTGAGAAGCGAGGGGCTTTACAAGGAGCTTTATTCACCTGCAGGGCATTGCGTATAATTCCTGTTTGTTTGTGTTCTCTTCCAGCTGCAAATTTAAATTACCCTCATTCTATTTTGACGTGATTTATAATGAGATTTCATTGTTCTTAAGTTCGATTCAAAGTCTATCCACATTTTATCGAAACTCTTTGAACAATAATTCTGAACAATGCATTTCCATATCAAATTCGACTAAAGCAAAGTATTTTCATGGAAATCATGGTCGGAAAGGAATTCCTTGTGTAACTTGTCATTCTGAATAAAGATTCTCCGAAACTCTTTGTCAAGGAGCTTCATAAGAGGCCTTATACGGAACTTTACAAGCAGCCTCACAAGGATTTGCACAAGGACAAGGAGCCTTCGACAGGAGCTTTACAAGGATCTTCATGATTAGCCCTACAAGGAGTTTTGCGCGAAGCCGTATAAAGAGCAATAAACGGAGCCTTACATGGAGCTGTACAATGAGCCTTGTAAGGAGCTGTATAAGCGGAAAAGGAGCCATTTCAGGGGCTTCATGAGTAGAGAGCCCTGCAGGCCTCAAAATAACTTGTCAAAAGCCATTTTTTGCAGGGGTCTGGCTGATCTCTCCCTTGGATCCGACTTGGATCTGAGCTGGCCAGACTTCGCCGCGCAGTTGGACGTGCTGCGTCGGGAGCTCGCGCCTCGGCGCAATGCCCAACCGCTCAAGCAAATGTAGGTATGGGTATGTGTCAAAAATCGGGGTACCCCCAAAAATGGTGGTTTCCCTTTTGGCTTCCCTCACTCCCTGGTCTGGACTTTATTCTTTTCTGGGTTTGGATCATAATAGGTGTAAAGAAACGGTTTGGGCTTTTGGGGCCAATTCATTCGTTCGGACGTGAGCCAAAGAGTTTGGGACGAGCCCCTTGTTGTCCGTCATGGCAACGCCGCCATCTCATTCCTTGAGTATATCCTTTCCAGATGGATTTGAAAGGAAGCCGAAAGGGACAACCAGGAGTTTTGCGGTATGCCTATTTTGCTCTATAATCATATGACATGATCCATATATATATATATATAATATATATATATATAGGTAGTAACATGTAATATAATACCATGTAATATTGCATAACATAAGATAATATTGTACAATATAGTATACGTTCCTATGGACACATACTACCATAATACTGTATGATATCAGATACATGATATTGCAATATAATACAGTTGTTCAATCAATATGACACTTCCATGTTTGTTTCTATCCCCAACGGTCTTTCAAAGAAACACAATCCATCAGAAACCAATGTCGCCAGCCCAGCGACTTTTGCGAGAATAGAACATGCAGGGATCACTTTGGATACCCCTGAATTATGATCGCTTCTGGCGCCTGTCTTCTACCAGCGCAAGCTGCACCTTCTTTGCGCTTGACCACTTTTGCAGTCTTGCCGGTGCCGTACTCCCTTGAGAAGCCTCTTCTGTGCGGAAAACATCGAGAAACACGACAAACCGACCGGCCAGAAAAAGAAAGCCCGGAGGGAAAGGTTTTGGACATGCCCCATACATTTTGTCTGTGGGATATCCTAGTAGATCTCTCCCATGCAGGCATCGGATGCCGCTGCTGCGTTCCTGATGTTTGCAAAAG